TACCTTTACCTTTATGGGGCTGGCTCAGTTTAAAGCACCTTTCTATCTTTTACCAAATACAGGTTCCAGAAAACAGAGACTGGTAAATAGGGAATACATGAATGTGTTGTGCTCCTCTGAGGATTATTTTTCAGGTTCTAAACAACTGGAAGATTGGGAGGGCTTTTTCCCCTTTTTACCTCAGCAAGGAGTGCCAGAAAATGCTTCAAGGCTTCCAGCCAAATCCCCAGGTTTGCAGGATGGCTCTGTTCCCTGTGTAGCAACATATTTGCATGCTTGTGAGAGCTAGTTGCTTTTCCAGAGATCTCAGAGGTGCTGGGGCTTTGAACTCTACTTCAAAGCTGGGGGCTCAAATTAGATTTTTATTTAAACTGAGAGGAATATGTAAATGTTTACAAGAGCTGGTCAACCCTTTCTGTCATTTCAAAATGGGTGAACAGAATTATTCATTGGGTTTTATAAACCAACCTTGCTGGGCCATCAACTTTCTTGAAGTTTTTTGCACACCTTAAAAGATATGACAGATTAGCACCCAAAGTGGAATTTTCCTTTCTCAAATTGACTGTATCAGTCTATGAGGAGAAATAAGCATATCGCTTTGCTTGCTCTAGCCTAGCCTGACATCTTTCAAAGTTAAAAAATATTCCTTTTTTTCCAGAGGAGGAATTAATAGTAAAAAGAGAACTAAGCCTCATTGATGACATTAGCATGAACCCAGTTGCTCCATAAACTTTAAAGAGTTATTTTTTGTTTTCTGAAAGGCAGTTAAATTGAGACCACAGCATATCCAACTTGATGTTATTTTAGACTGCAATTTAGTGAATAACAGTGATATTTCCATATTTGTCTTTCAGATCCATCTTCCATTGTTTGAAAAACAGCTCAGCTCCATTGTCCCTCTTTTACTTTATTATTATTATTATTATTATTATTATTATTATTATTATTATTATTATGCCATAAATGACAAGAACTGTTACACCGGGTCTGCTAGTTGCATAAATAAGCGGATATGTTTGCAGGCCCATCCAGTCTAGTGTCCTGTTGCCTCAGTGGCTCAAAGCACCCTTTACCAACTGGAATGACAACTACAACCATTTTTGGACTGGGAGAGACTTCTGGGGAAGCCTCAAATCCAGACTCAAAGCTGCTGCAGATCTTTGGATTGTGCTCATACAAAACTTGTGACATGACACCAGCACTCTGCAAGCTTCTTCACCTTCACTTCATTGACTACAGGGAGAGGGACATTTGCAAAGCAACATACTGCATTTTGCTTTAGAAGACCTTATAGGGTGAGGAGAAAGGTGGATATTGGGGGCTACTGCTTTTGACAGTCATGAGCACACATCCTCTGTGACCCAGAAGTAGTTCCCTAAGCAGAAGCTAGTTGAGTAAAACTCATATCATTTCCCCGATAGTAAGCTATAAACATTTTTGCTGCCAATAACACAGTAATCATAATTTCAACATTTGGTGTCCCCGTCCCCCCCCCGTCCCCAATACAGCTCACCAGATAATTTAGTAACACCTTCAAGGGATTATCTTTGTTTTTAGCAGTGTTATTTTTCTAGAAAAAGAGGTGCCGGAATTCACCATGAACACCTCCCTTGTTCTCTTATAATGGCAATGGTGCCCACCTAAGAGATACCAGAACTGACAACTGGCAAGTTCCGGCTGGGGGAAAAAGGCCTGGTTTTTAGGTGTTTGATTCTATACAATTTTATACTTCTTAAACTGATTAGAGCATGAAATGAGACGGGCTATGAGTACATACATAAAGTGCATTTGTTTTATGGGTTTATTTGGATTAATACTATTTTGCTTTTTACAAACATAGGCTTACGGTACTTAAGATTCGTTTAAGGTCATGTCAGGCATGCATGTGTTTTGCTTCATGACTTGTTGACTACTATCTGTTTGCTCTTAGGGTTGTGCAATTTCTCCCATACATCATGTGCTCATGCTTCAGTATTGACATATTTACTGATAGGAACAAACAGTGAAATCCCAATAGAACATCTGGGTAGCATGTTTGAAGATTTGTTCGAGAGTAGTTAAACAACACTCATCCTAACTGTGTTTTAAAACAGTATCATTGCACAATTGGCATTCTTTGGAAATTACGTTTAATTGCAGAAGATGCATTGCAAATGTGTAAGTAATAATAACACTTGGTGTAAGTAATAAAACACAGGTATAGAGCTTTCAGATGCCCAAAGCACTTTATGTGTATTATCTAGCTGTCATGCTTGCAAGAACACTACAGTGGCGCCTCGCAAGACGAAATTAATTCGTTCCGCGAGTTTTTTCATCTTGCGATTTTTTCGTCTTGCGAAGCACGGTGTCGGAAAAGTTTTGGAAAAGCTTCAAAAATCACCAAAGACTTCAAAAACCTCAAAAAAGGCTACCGCACCGCGTGCTATGAGTTGCTCCTCGAAGTCAAGTCGCAACTGTATTAATGGTTTTAAGAAAAAGGAAACAAACTTGCAAGACGTTTCCGTCTTGCGAAGCAAGCCCATAGGGAAAATTGTCTTGCGAAGCAACTCAAAAAACCAAAAACCCTTTCGTCTTGCGAGTTTTCCGTCTTGCGAGGCATTCGTCTTGCGAGGTACCACTGTATAAAGTGCTATTATCTCCCATATTGCAGATGGGGGGAGAGAGATTGAAAGAGTGTGATTTGCAGTGTCTGCCAACAGATGAGCAATTAGGTCATGAGGAATTATGAAGAAATATAAAAACAACAACTACAACAATAACATTTTTATTATTTATACACCACTCATCTGGCTGGGTTTCCCCAGCCACTCTGGGCAGCTAATTATTGAATCATGAGTAGTATATAATTGGTTAAAAAAATTAAAAGGCAGATTTATTTATTAATCAATTTAAACTTACAATGTATCTACTACATTTTTTTTTTAATAGGCTGACAGCTCTGGGTTTATTTATTTTCTACCTCACCGGAAAATCACCCTGACACAAAATATACTGGTTCCATAGCTTCCAGATATCTTAAGCAGCATTTTTTTTCAGTAGCCAAAAGTGTGTGTATATTTTTCCCAGCTGTGTACAAATGCTGAAAGCAGAGGATGTCGATCCAATGGCAGTGCTGGCATAGAAAGGGTGATGTCATGTCTGCAAAAGTACCAGACACCAGAAGCACTTTGGGGTTCGCCAGAAAAGGATGCTGGGTCTTTGACTGCAATCCTATGCATAATTTCTTGGAAGTCACACTGAATAAAATAGGACTTATTTGCTTCAAGTAAACATTCATAGGATTGGGCTGTTTGCCACATTTCAAGGGCTACAGGGCAGAAGCTTAAGTCATGGAAACAAAACATTTCCTCGAGCAAGAACTGCAATGAGAGGCAAGGGCCGGTTCATACATGAAAGGCACACTTACTTTCTTTTCAATCATATGTGTGAGTGTAGCACCCTGCTTGTGGTTAACGCTTAGCTGGAATGAAATGTTCAACGCAGCAACAGAGAAATTAAAATAATAATTTATTTGTCAGACAAATAAATGAGAGGCACAGTGGTATATAGTTACCAAGCTCTGGCCTGGCCTCCTGCCATTATGGCCAGCACTTATATTCCCTTAATCCAGCCCCCTTTGCTCCTCCTGTGGCTGCCTCTGTCCAATCAGCCTGGTTGAAATTCCTATTGGCTGATTGGTATAACCAATCACAAAAAGATACACCCATATCCTCCTGTCCTTATATGGAACACAAAGAGCTATATATTGTTACATCTATAAATGACAAATAAGTAGTAATATATCTTACATGTGTCTCAACAAGGAATCTTAATTACCAGCTCACCTCTTGCCCTCCTTGCCCTATTGCCTTCTAAAACAAATGGTTAATCTTAAATTTTTATCTTAAACATATGTCAAGGATCTTGAGTTTCACATCAACATTGAAAGATCTCCTTCATTTGAAGGTTTCTAAACAAATGTCTGACAACTATATATATCAGGACTGCTTGGATGGCGTCTCCTGTCTGGCAGGGGGGCTAGGCTGGTGGCTGACTTAATTTCAGGATAAATACAACTCTTACAACTATATGAAATAAGAATCTAGCATTTCTTAAATCCTTTGCATAATTACATCTATGCCAATACACTTAATACACAACACAGGTAGCCTCTTAAAAGGAATAAACCTCAAAGTAAAAGGAAGGAACAGTTTACAGCCTCAAAATAAAATAGGAAATAAAAGCCTCTTCCCCTTCTCCAGCCAGTTGTTTTGTTTTCCATGTGCTCTTGGCCTTTTGTCCTGTGGCTCAAGTTTAAGGCACATGGTTTTATTTTACTGTTTACCAACTATTAATTATGTTGGGTCTATGTAACCTTGCTCTTAACCTGTAATTCCCTTTTTTTACGACTTTGAGAATTGTTTTCTGCTATAAATCAAGGGGCCCCTTGTCTAGGAGGAAAACATTGCCGGGGTTCTCTAAGCAGCTGGCATGAAAACATTTGAAAATCTAAGCCCATTTAATTTAGGAACCTGATCAAGATATAAGCCAATATAAGTCTTGATTAAAAATGCAGTCTATATTCAGATGCCACATGAGCATATGACCAAACAGAGAAAAATTAGAGTTGACTGGATGCTACAGATCAAGAGAAGTTTATTTCCATGACTGCATTGGTTTGAAAAACTTGCATTAAAGTCACTGAAACTGTGTCTCTGTGTACTTCTGTATCACACTTTCTCTATGTGCATCCATTTATTTACCGAAGTATCTTCCTGACTGTTTTCCCCAGCCACTCTGGGCAGCTTCCAACAGAATGTTAAAAACAATACAGCACCAGACATTAAAAACTTCCCTAAACAGGGCCGCCTTCAGTTGTCTTTTAAAAATAAAATAGTTGTTTATTGCCTTGACATCTGCTGGGAGGGCGTTCCACAGGGCAGGTGCCACTACCGAGAAGGCCCTCTGCCTGGTTCCCTGTAACTTCGCATCTCGCAGTGAGGGAACCGCCAGAAGGCCCTCGGCGCTGGATCTCAGTGTCCGGGCTGAACGATGGAGGTGGAGACACTCCTTCAGGTACCTGGTTGTCTAGGGCAAAGGAACTTTAGAAATACAGAGAAACCTGCATGGTTGCTGACAAGGGCCAAAAGAGAAACAATTATAACAAGTGCATAACTGTGAAAGAACACTCCCCCCCCCCCCGAAAAAAACCACCCTGCTTCTGAACTGGTGCCTGCGGGTCACTTTCTGTCTTAATTTTGGGTTTGGAAAGAAATTGAGCAAATTAATTATACAGCGGTCACAGCGCAAGCTGAGGCACACTTCCTTTCAGGCATGAAAATTGCAGGTTAAAGACTGCCAGGGTGATTTCACTTTGTTGAGTCTGTGCTGGGACACCAAACTAGCCTTTGATCAGGAAGGTACGAAGCCAGAAGCTAATGCTGCAGAATATTCTAGGCATGACTTGTCAAATGCTTTGCTGAGCTTTATTACTAAGCCACTGCCTATAAGAGTCATGGTTTGGATGCAGTCAATGAAATAATCTATTAATATTTTTGTCTGTGTACTATAACATTATGTAAAGGGAGAGAAATACAGGGGAAGTTTTGAGGTCAGCTGACGGCCACCTTTAGATAGTTTTGTGTAAAAAAGTTGGGCTCAGTGTTGTTTTTTTAAAAAAATGTTTGGAATGATTCACGATCTGGTGGTTTCTTATTTTGAACTTGCTAGATTTTTCTCTTATTGACAGAATGAATAAACTCCAAACTTGGTAGACTCAAAAAATAAACAGCAAACAGTAAAGGATGATTTCTATGGCATGTGGTAGCTATCTCCCTTTAATGTCACACACAAATATTATTGATGCTAACAAAACAAAACAAAATTGAAAGAAAACTTAAAAAAGAAGTATCTAACTCCCTTCAAGTATTTATTTCTTCAGACTGTATGGGGGTGGGATCTCACCTTTAAAGTATATTTTGGCATCCTGGTTGCTATAAGACTTCCACAGATATCTTTATATATTGTAGGGCTGGGCAATAACTGGTTTTCAATATCGCGATATATCACCAGCTAAACAGAGCATAAAGACAATTAAGGTAAGTTGTCAGTAAATGAAAAGTATGCACCCAAAGAAGTGAAAATGCACTGTTTCAAAATTCAATACAGTAGTACTGCTAAAGAAGCACAACAGTCAATTTCTCTTGTCCTTCCTTTTAGGTGTACATACGGTAGGTATTAAATAGTAGCAAAAATCAGTTAATATGTCCATTGGTGAGCATATGCTGATAGCAGAAATCAACCATGTTATACTGCATTAGCAAAGTTAATAAATGGAAACCAACTTGATTCAAAAGTGCCCTCTTTTCTGCCCATCAGTAACCCTCAACTTTTGCATTATTATTACTATTATTATTATTATTAATTATTATTATTATTATTATTATTATTATTATTATTATTATTATTATTTTCCAAAATTGCAACCTGCCACACTCCCTGATACCATAGATCTAATATCACCTCATGAAAATCCTTCCAATTGTGAGCTATGGTGGTCCTTGATGTTGCCAGTACACAACAGCAAGAACACTGTATACTAAGTGAAAATATAATTTTTATGGGGGGGTGGTGGCGGGGACCTTTTTGCTGTAGATGCCTTTGCTGTGTGCCAGGACACCTGGAGGTAAGGGCTGTAACTGTGAAGTAATACTTGACAGCAAGGTCAAAAATGTGCCCTAGGTGAGCACGATTTACTGACTCCAGTCCACAGGCATCAGGTGAAACCAATGGATTTGGGGAGAGCGACTAGAATCATCAGGACATTATTCAACTAGTGCATATATAGGGAATAATCCAGCTAAAGCTGAGCATTTTAGCGTTGCCCTGAAATTTCAGTGGAACAATTCTAACCAACCCACTGAACCAGGTCTTTTGAAAAGACCTCTCCTGGCTAGACCATAATTAAAATAAAGTGGAAATAAATAGAAAAGAGAAAATAGCTGAGTAGGGAAGAAAAGCTAAATATAAATGGTTCACAGAAATATAGCAAGAGGGCAGTAGAAATTAGGTAAAATAGAAGTTCCTGAAGACCGAGTTTCCAGAAAAGTAGCCAGAAGACTTATTAGCTGTCTAACCCACTGTCCACACAACACTCCTGCCTCTCCTTTTCCAGGAAAATTCAAGTTGTAGCAAATGCCAGGAAAGGATATACAGTCATACCTCTTGTTACGGATGCTTCAGGTTACGTGTTTTCAGGTTGCAGACTGCAGGAAACCCGGATGTACCAGCACAGGTTACTTCCAGGTTTCGCCGCTGGCGCATGCGCAGAAGCACTAAATCACACCGGCGCAGACACGGCGCTTCAGGATGCGAACGCTGCAGGTTGCGGATGTGCCTCCATCACAGCTTACGTCCGCAACCCAAGGTTCCACTGTAAAGATAGATGTAAGAGTAGGAACAGTTTGGCAATGGAATAAACTGTGAACTCTTTCCTTGCAAGATTATAGATAATTATTATTGTTTTATTTATTAAATCTGTATGCCACCCTTCATCCAAAGATCAAATACAAAATGAGAACACAAAATACGCAATAAAAAGAAACAAACCAATAACCCCACTCCCACAAATAAATTTAAAAGTTCATAGAGTGTTAATCAGCCAAAGGCCTGGTTGAAGAGAAACATTTTTGCTGATGCCTAAAGATATGTAATAATAATAATAATAATAATAATAATAATAATAATAATATATATTTATACCCCGCCCATCTGGCTGAGTTTCCCCAGCCACTCTGGGCGGCTCCCAATCAGTGTTAAAAACAGTACAGCGTTACATATTAAAAACTTCCCTGAACAGGGCTGCCTTAAGATGTCTTCTGAATGTCAGGTAATTATTTATCTCTTTGACATCTGATGGGAGGGCGTTCCACAGGGCGGGCACCACTACCAAGAAGGCCCTCTGTCTGGTTCCCTGTAGCCTCACTTCTCGCAATGAGGGAACCGCCAGAAGGCCCTTGGCGCTGGATCTCAGGTGAGTCTCAGGTGTACTGAAGGTGCCAGGTGAGTCTCCCTGGGGAAAGCATTCCACAAATGGGGAGCCACTGCAGAAAAGTCCGGCTCTCATGTTGCAGCGATGGCACAGGGCCTCAGATGGTGATCACAGGGTCCAATTCACTTCATATGGGGAGAGGTGGTCCTTGAGGTATTGCAGTCCTGAGCCATTAAGTCTTTATAGGTCAAAAGCAGCACTTTGAATTGGGCCTGGAAGCTAATTGGCAGCCAATGCAGTCAGGCCAGGATTGGCACTATATGCTCAAACTGTCTTCCCCTGGTGAGCAGCCGAATTCTGCACCAGCTGAAGTTTCCGAACCATCTTCAGAGGGAGCCCTATGTATAACGTGTTGCAGTAATCGAACCTACAGGTTAGTAGAGCATAGACAACAGTAGTTAGGCTCTTCCTGCCCAGATAGCATTGCAGCTGGGCCACCAGCCAAAGCTGATGGAAGGCACTCCACACCACTGAGGCCACCTGAGTCTCAAGTGACAGCAAAGGACCCAGAAGTACTCCCAAGTTATGAACCCACTTTTTCAGAGGAGTGTAACCACCCAGTAATAGTACCTCAGCCTTATCTGAATTGAACTTCAGTTTGTTGGCTCTCATCCAGTCCATATCGGGGGCAAGACAATGGTCCAGCACATCCACTGCCACACCTGCAAATGTAAAGGAGAAGTAGAGCTGTGTGTCATCAGCATATTGGTGACAACATAGTCCAGAACTCGGGGTAACCCTACTCAGTGGTTTCATGTAGATGTTAAACAGCCTAGGAGATAGACTTGAACCCTACGGAACCACAAATTGAAGGCTCCACAGGGCAGAAGAACACTCCCCATGCATCACCCTCTGGAAATGACCATCCACATAGGACCGGAAACACCCCAAAGCAGTGTCACTCACCCCTAACTCGGACAGCCACTCCAGAAGCATACCATGGTCGGCGGTATCAAAAGCTGCTGTGAGGTCAGTGAGGATTAACAATGACTCATTTTCCCTGTCTCTCTCCCAACAGAGGTCATTGTACAGGGTGACCAAAGCAGTTGCTGTGCTAAAATGGCCTAAACCCCAAGTGAAATGGATCCAGAAAATCAGTTTCTAGATTGAAGAGAAGATTAAATGAGTATATCTACCAAAGGGGAATTTCACCTCGGAGCTTGTCACCTCCAGAGTTTACAGTGTGTTTGCACTTGTTTGTGTTCCCATTTGATTTGTGAAGTCCACATCATGCTACCTTGAAATAACACTAATCTCAATGCTCCCCCATGTGAATTTGGGCTTATCCAATAAAGAGATAATCAATCAGGCACCAAACCACTTAGGGTCACAGACAAATCATGTCTGATAGGCCATTAGATATCGAGTGGCATGTTACGATATGGATGCAATGCAACCGCGAGCAGCAGGTGGCTTGAAAACAAAACATAATGGGAATGTTGGAACTGTTCCGTGGGAACAGAGGGAGGGTCTATTTTCAGTGCAGAGCACCGGAAATAGCTCAGAGGGAAATATGACCTGTACAGGAAGCAGTGGCGTAGTGTGGGTTGTCAGCACCCGGGGCAAGGCAAGTAATTTGCGCCCCCTAACCTGTGGATTTGCGCCCCCTAACCCGTGGATTTGCGCCCCCTAACCTGTGGATTTGCCCTAACCCCAGATGTTGCGCCCGGTGCGGCCGGCCCCCCCTGCACCCCCCACGCTACGCCACTGACAGGAAGTACAGGAGGAGGAGTTTCCTCTCTCTTCTGATGGTGGCTGATGAGAGAGGACGTGTTTCTCTGTAATGCTGCAAAGACAGAAATAAAGGCATGTAAATACATTTCTGTCTCTCTCTTTCCCCCAGCCTGGGGGGGGCGGTGTGTTCTTCTCACGTTTGAGGAGGATCGCCGATCGCGACCTTGCCTGCATCTGCCGGGAATGCAGACAGGGAGGTCACCAGGAGATCGTGCCAGGAGCCTGGAGAGTGGCCAGCTTCTCCTGAGATATGGCAGATATCCTAACATGGCATTCCCTAAATCTGGGAAATGGTGGTGCCTTAGATTTGGGATTTTTTGACTCCTTTGCTGAGCCCCACACACCTTTGCCTGCCCCATTTCTGACATTCTTCACTCTTTTTTTAAGCCACAGAAGAGGTGAAATGTTCACATTTGCAGCCTCTGCTTCCATACCTGATACACCACATGACAGGACGCCAGCTGGCATGGAGTAACAGAAACATTGGCCAGGAGACATCATGTTTCTGTCTTGGTGGTTTAGAGAACACTGACCACTAACAAGATTTAAGGTTCAAAGTGGGGCGGAGGGCCAGCAAAGAAATCACCTGAAATCAATAAACAAACGTAGATAACTGAAATAAATGTTATAGTGGAATGTAAGAAAAAGGATATAAAACAAAACTGCGCAATAATACCATGACAACAGAAAAAGTATAACGAGAAAGCTTGGAAGTTTTTTTGCAAAAAAATCTTTTTATTTTGATAGATATAATGTCGTATAAATCTTTGGTCTTTTTAAATTTTTTATCATTTTCTTGTCTCTGCTTCAAACTTCTCTTTTATATATATTTTCTTTCTTTTCTTTTTGTATTTAACTCAGTAATACTTACTTACCTTCGTTGTATGGTTGTATGTTTGTATTTTAAACTAATAAATATTTAAATAAAAAACAAACAAATGTATCTAAAACAATGACCATTTAATGGGGGGCACCCTTTGCATGGTCACGCGCAGCCCCTGGACCCTGAGCGGCTCCATCAGCACAGGCCTGGCTTCGCTTTCCCCCAGGTGGGATACCTGGAGGTCTCTGCCTACCTCAGTCAGTTGTCCAATCCCGCCTGGGGAAGCGTTGCCAAGGTGACCAGGCCAGATAAGGGGAGGGACTACCTGCCCACACAATAGAGGAAGGATCTTACCTAGGAATCTTCAGTTGGCTCCAGAGCTTCTCCCACCCTACCGACCCTCAGTTAAGACTTCTTTTGCAGGTTAATCTTTTCTCCACAGGTACATGGGCGATGCTACATCAGGGTCGCTGTTGAAGGGCCGGAAAGGAATTCCCCTGCATTGGCAAATTTGCCTTTCCCGTAGCAAAACGTCACAACATTGGTGGTATCAGGCCTTGGGCGGAATCCTTTAGTCTATCTTCCCTGAGTGCGGGGGAGGGGAGGGGCGTGCAGCGGTGACCCACGCCCCCTTCCTCTTTGCGGCGGCAATACCAGGATTCCCCATTAAAGGGGTTTTGAGGGGAGGCTTTGGCCGTACGCCTAGAGGTCATCATTGCTCTCCCCTGCGGCGACGACGTAACGGGGGCGGGCTCTCTCTGCTTGAACATATGTCCTCCAGAGCTAGCCCATCCCACCCCCCACACTGGATAACCCTGATGTTCCCCAGATCCCTGGCAGGGGACTGGGAGGGATAAACGCCCAATGCCTGAGCCAAAGTCTACCCACATCTGAAATATAATAAAGTTGTGGCCAATTTTAATCCCATAGCACGTTGTCGTGAGTTGTTATTCCACATGAGGGGGGCCGCCCAGGGTTTGAGGGACTCCGCCTGTCCACACAATCCTGTGAGATCCAGCAAATACCCTCAGGACATCTTGGTTCAACTTCACTGTAGAGGCCCAGTGTCACAATTTTCAGCACAGTCCCTGATTCTTACAGAAAGCATCAACTTTAATCCCATGAGGGCTTCATCTGTAGCTTCATGGTTCGACACCTCAGTCGGCTAAGTTCCAACAGCATCTCCTCCCTGGAAACATTCTTGTATGTGCAAACACTGCAAAGTTTCAAGTTTGCTCTAAGTGGATCCATTAAAGAAGCAATGGAATGTGCATTACAAAGATGCCTGCAAATGTGACATGAAGATTGGCAACATTGACCCCACTGTGCGGAAATCCCATGCTGACAACTGCAGTGCCTGGAGACAGTCAGGTTGCGCACCTGTAGCAGGGGCCAGAGGAGGAATAATCGCTGGGAGGGGGGAAGAGAGAAGAAACGCCATGGTGCATCTGCAGCAGCACAACCAGACACCTTCATCTGCCCCAGCTGCAACAAAACATGTCTCTTCTGCATCGGTCTCAACAGCCAGAGCAGGCACTGTGGCTTCCAGTGGTTTGTCTTCACACCCAAAGGCACACTTCTTCATTATCTCCCATGACAGATGGATGTTAACCAATGGGTGCGGGGGATAAAAAAATGGTCTCATTATGTACTCAGCAGGGAGATAAGTGCTTTAAAACTGAACTTTAGGGACAGAATTAGGGTACCAGATGCTGGAGCCAAATAACAGGGAAGAGTTATTGTCAGGGCCAGATTTAGGTCTGATGAGGCCCTAAGCTACTGAAGGTAATGGGGCTCTTTATATGTCCAGCTGTCCTTTGTCAACAACAAATTGCAGCTGTTTTTTCTGTTGAATATATGCTATATGGTAATTTATGGACCTAATAGGTATCTAAAGCCATTTGCACATGCAGAATGTAGGCACCCTATATATAGAAATGAGCAAACCAGTGATTTTAGGGAGCAGGCTAGCAGGCGGGGCCCATTACTTACATCATAGGAGCCTACACAACACAAAACACTTGCTGTATGTAGATTTTATTTTATTTTATCTTATATTTTGGAAATGTACATCCAGTTTTTCCCCCTTTAATTTTTTTTGGGGGGCCTAGAGAGTGGGGCCCTAAGCTATAGCTTGTTTAGCTTATACGTAAATCCAGCACTGGTTATTGTTTTTCTGCTTGCTTGTGAGCTTCCCAGAAACTGCTGGCTGGCTGCTGTTGGACTCAAATGGCTGGACTAGACGGACTTTTGGTTTGACACTGCAGGGCAGGACGTACCATCTTGCCAGGTCTGCAGACACCCTTGTATATTAGAAGCCAGTTGTTTCTGCCTGTGTGTCAACCACTGAGCGCTCGTGGTGTGGTGACTGGCCAATGTGAAAGGGGCATAAAAAAGAAAATTGGTTGGGGACTTCAGTCAAACTGTGTATGCTTTTTGGCTCATCGCAAAGCGCTCTCTGCAGATAGCGTGTGCTTTGGCAAACAGGACAGTCTGGGCTGCAGGATATTACACCTGGCAGGGATACAAAACCTACCAGTTCCTGGAATGTAGATAGTCTGGCAGGGTGCTGATTAAGCAGGCCTTTCAATCTGGGCCCAAGACAAAGCCCCATAATAAGAAGCTTTCAAGTTAGCTTGCTTTATGGCAGTGGCTGACATCCACAGCTGGATCCAGACCACTCAGGCAGTCAAACAGAAACCAAAAGTCTCTTCTCAGACATAATGTGTTTGGAAGGTTAAATGCACATAACACTGTGATATTGCAGGCTTCAGTGGCGACATGTGCTGAGCTTCATTTTGTCTCCTTCCAGGAGTGACTATAAATCATTAAATACAAAACAAAAAATTCCTTCCAGTAGCACCTTAAAGACCAACTAAGTTAGTTCTTGGTATGAGCTTTCGTGTGCATGCACACTTCTTCAGATACACTTATCTGAAGAATGTATCTGATACAGAGTGTATCTGAAGAAGTGTGCATGCACACGAAAGCTCATACCAAGAACTAACTTAGTTGGTCTTTAAGGTGCTACTGGAAGGAATTTTTTTGTTTTGACTATGGCAGACCAACACGGCTACCTATCTGTCATTAAATACAGTTAGAAAGCCCAGTCCCTTCAGGAAGTTTGGAGGTTATTTAAAAGAACTAAAACAGAGGTTCACAAAATGTATAAAATGCAGGAGAGAGGGCTAGCAGACAAGTCCAAAACGATTCCTGTCCAAGAGAGTTATAAAAATCAAAAGCGGTGTCCAAGAAGGCTGTGAAAATCAAAGAATTTTTTGAAGTATTTTTTATTTTATTTTATCCATATAACCCAAATAACAAAATAGAATTCCATGAGGCAAACACATAAAAACTGAACTGAACCAAACCGAGGCTGGCATGGGATGTTACATTCACAAGAAGTAATTATATATTTGCTTATCCAGATATTTGCGATAAGATACAGGCATGTGGGTGGAGGGTACCATCATAAGAAACGAGAGAGAAAAGAGGTGTGGCACACATGACTTGCAAGATATACAGATACATAGACCTATAACCGAAACCATCCGAGGCACAAGGAGTACAAAGAATAAAAGGCCCTACATTACGCCAAGAAAATTTTTCAGCTGATTAGATGTTACTTATACCAAATTTATTGAGAGTCATGTGGAAGAGACAAAGGCAAATTTTCTTCTTTTAAATGTATCCATAAAATCCCACCAAAATGAAACAAAAGATGCCGCCTTTGTTTCCCTCCCCTCTTTCTTTCTTTCTCTTTCTTTCTTTCTTTCTTTCTTTCTTTCTTTCTTTCTTTCTTTCTTTCTTAGCAGAAACTGTACTGAAAGCGGGACCAACATGACCACCCCACAAGCACCCTGAGCACAGATCGTCATAGTGCAATGAAAAGGATGTCTCTGCAGGAGTCCTGGCAATGTGCATGGTGGCAACAGCAGCATTTGAAGGAAGGTGCAGATCAGCAGCGGTGCCTTTCCCCGTCCCAGGAAATGCAATACCTCTACTGCTGGGATGACCAAGTGCAGATCTAGGGGAAAGCAATTAGTTCAGTCACAGAGCTTCTGGAGTGCTGCAACAGGTGCCTCAACTGTGAAGTCCAATGGAAGGTGGAGGGGGCACCAGATTTTGGCGCCGCACATGGCGTCTCTGAAATTTGAGACACCAGTGTCCTGTGTCACCTGCCACTGCTGGAGACATGCACATTCTCCTGCTTTAGGTCTGACAACAACCCTGGGGACACAGGGAGCTGCCTTATAACGAGTCAGACTATTGGTCCATTTAGCTCAGTATTCTCATCAGTGAATGGCAGTGCTGTTACAGGCAGGGTTCTCTCCCAGCTCTACCTGAAGATGCTGGAGACTGGACCCAGGACCTTTTGCTCGCAGACTCTGTCACCGAATAAGCCTTGTCCCTTCCCCAAAGTGCAGAAATTCTCCTAAATTAAATGCATGCTGCCCCTGGAGAAAAACTGCTCTCAACTTTCAGGGCATAGGCTTCCATTTACTTGCTCTTCGCAGCTTCCCCTACCTCGAAGCTCACAACAAGCAGAGACACTCGGTAGAGACGGAGCCATGTGTACACAGGGGAAAGGCCATAAATTGCTCAGCTGGACCCTTTTCAAACTTGAGGATGTTCCCGAAGGGAAGAGATCAGATGCGGATTTCTGCGTCAGATTGCCATCAAAGACTCCTTGGGCTTGGTTGTGTTAAATCTCTCTGCCACATGTCCCTGAGAGCAGGTTGCTTGCAAAGGTCAGTCTCTGAGTTTACTGCTGCAGCGGCAACTAACAATTCTCAGCTGTTCTTGGCGCAGCCTTCAAGGTATGTAGTCTGGGAAATGTCATCTCAGCTTCTTTAAGGACTAGCTTAGAAGGCTTTTCTAGTACTAAAAAAAGAGAATAAAAAGTCTTTGCTATTTTTATTTTTGTCCTCTTTCTGAACAGAAATGAATCAAATGGAAAAGAATCCTTTAGCCTTTTGATTTCCTTAATCAACTTTTTAAAAAATGTATTACTGGTTACTTCTTGCTTACTTATTGCAATAACTTTGCCTGATGGACTGAATATCTGCAAAAACTCTGGGAAGTTGGTGAAGCTACCATAAGAAATGGTACTAATTAGCACCCCTCTGACAGGTCCCTGCATATGTTTGGAATGGGATTTTTTTCCTGCAAAGATGGGGGGGGGGGCTTTTCTTTTCTAGAACACCAGCAATAAATAAAATACCTCTGGAGATTTCACAGCTGGTCTTAGAATTTAGCTCTTTATAAATGCAGCCTAGCTAAACTCATTCACTCCTGCTCTGAGTAAAGTTTTCTCTGGGTGTCTTTCTAATCGCCTTTTCCATCTCTGATGACATTCCTCCCCACCCCACCCCCAAAAAGGAAAGGCAACAAATAAAACCGAATCTCTTTCTTTTCTTTGTATACACACAGAAGCCGGAAGGAAAAATATTTGCCATATTGATTGCCCTTCGAAATCAAAATTAGAGACTCAGGAGGAAAAAGTGTGCAAATCCTAAAATGACTCTCTTGCATGTGCACTTATATTTTACTGCTTCGGTCTTCTGGATGATGCAGAAATCCAGCTCCTACATGCTGCCCAATACTACTGAGGTCCTTTACCCAACCAGTAGCACTGAGGCAGGCCATACATCTGGCCTGGGTGTACCAAGGACTCGCAGGAAACGTTATATTTCCCCCCGGGATATGAGCGCGCTTTTGGACTACCACAACCAAGTGCGGGCACAAGTGTCTCCACCAGCGTCTAATATGGAATATATGGTGAGTTTCCTTTGTGCTTGCTTCTGATGGTGGGTGGGAAGGAACAATGACCACTGAGATGTTATGCAAAGTAAATATGGCACCCGTTTGGTTCCTTTGATGCTTATACATCCATCGGCACCTCAATGCTCCAGGAACGTACGAAGCTGCTATATACTGAGTCCAACAGTTAGTCCATCTACCTCAGTATTGTCGACCCCAACTGGCAATGGTTCTCCAGTGTTTCAGACCTCCTGCATTCAAATCAGATGCTCTACCAATGAACCAAGGCCTTTCCCTTGTCATTCATAATTCTGAAAATCTGCCACATATACTTTGAAGGAGGCGGAAAGGAGCAACAGTGTCAGAGAAGCAGTGTGGTTGGGCTGCCTTGCAGCTAAGCATTTGTGAAGAACGTACCTCAAGCAGAGCAATTTTTCCACAGGGATTTGTTTAAAGCGGCACACTAGATTATTGATTGTGTTTTGTTTGGTGTTCTGCTGAGCGGCGAATGTAAGATGAGGTTATGTCTTTTTGAGGTTCAAGCACCTAAAGACAACGATAGAGAAAGCAAAAGGTTTCTTTGCAGAGAGCACAGCTCGCTGAGAGATGAGAGCAAGGCACACACACTCAGAGAAAAAGGTGTTGTTGTTTTTACACAGCACAGTAAATCATCCCTCATTTCAATAATGCAGCCCACAAATGGCATTTTTTTTTTCAAGTTACAGGGTGGAGACTTATAAACACAGAGAAATGAAATGAAAAACCCACAGTTTCAAAATATCAAGGTCCTTACTGAAGTAAGAGCAGGTTACCTTTCAATGAAGCCTGTTTCAAGCTCTTCTCAGGAAAAAGGAGGGGGAGGGGAGGAGGCAGCAGAGAGCAGAGTCTTCAGATAGCCCAGAGTGTCCTTGGCAATGCCCTTAGCAACAGTTCCGGCACAAAATTACAATACTGCCTGAGGGAAAAATCTTCAGTGTTTTAGATAATTCCGCATTAAAGATAAAGGGACCCCTGACTATTAGGTCCAGTCATGGCCGACTCTGGGGTTGCGGCGCTCATCTCGTTTTATTGGCCGAGGGAGCCGGCGTACAGCTTCCAGGTCATGTGGCCAGCATGACTAAGCCGCTTCTGGCGAACCAGAGCAGCACATGGAAACGCCGTTTACCTTCCCGCTGGAGCAGTACCTATTTATCTACTTGCACTTTGTTGTGCTTTCGAACTGCTAGGTTGGCAGGAGCAGGGACCGAGCAACGGGAGCTCACCCCGTCAATGGGGATTCGAACCGCCAACTTTCTGATCGGCAAGTCCTAGGCTCTGTGGTTCAACCCACAGTGCCACCTGCATCCCTCTAATTCCACATTAGGCTTGTTCTTTAGCTACTTGCATGTCACCACTTTTTGGGAGCCAGGTTCCTAGTGTAGGGTCCCAGGGTGGCATAATGGTTAGAATGTTTGACTAGGAGCTGGGAGAGCGGGGTTCAAATCCCCACTCAGCCATGAAGCTCACTGGGTGACCTTGGGCCAGTCACCATCTCGTAGCCTAACCTACCTCACAGGGTTGTTGCGAGGAGGAGAGCCATGTACAACACCTCGGAATCCTTGGAAGAAAAAGGTGTTACATAAATGCAATAAACTCCATGTAACTCTAGCACACTTGAATCTAATTAGTGAATGAGAAGGGGCATATAGGGGTAGAGGCGTCTCTAGGGTGCCTTGGCAAGGAGCTGTGCCAGCAATAGCCACATTAGAAATTACTACCTTTTATGCATCCCAAGTAATCGAAGCGTCTGGAGTGAGGGCAAGGAGAGAAGGAAGGATGGAGAAAATGCACACCTTTGTGCTACAGTACAAGAAGGACGGGAAGCTTCTCCCACATTTGATCTTGCTGTGGCAGCAGTGGCACGTAATCACAGACATATACGTCACAACTCCATGGTCTCTAACGATCTACCTTCACACTGCATTGCCATTTCTCCTGGCTCTCATCCCCCTGCACTTTTCTAAACTCACTGCTTTGCACAGATAACTGGAGACAGATTTCTGGAGCCAGTTTCGCCAACTCCTAGGTACCGGTATGCCTCTGCATAGGGACTCTGCTGGAACCTCCTTCCCCCAAAGTAATGGGTCTATGATTTCCTGCAGTCCCTGATTACTAAACCCTTGCTGTTCAGGATATCTCTGTGCATAGCCTCTCTTTCTTGGTATTGCTGCCACAGGCATGCATGGCCAGGGGGTGTAGCTTGTAGTCGTGACCCCTTTGCCATATCCTCATTGGGCTGATTTAAACAGACCACCTGACAACTCAAGCAGCGCTTAAGAACTGACATGTGCACAAATAGCATTGTACGACTTCAGACAGTTCGCCTAGGGTGTTTATTTGTATTCTTTTAAACCCTATTTTGACTCGTTTTCATTGTCTGGTTGCAAATTACCTTGAACGTCTATGAAAGTGCATAAATTAAAACAACAACAATACCGACAGGCTAAGCATGTTTGAATGTTCCCCCATGTGGGAACATTCTGAGCATAGAAAGTAAGCTGGGCATAGAAAGTAAGCATATCAGGCAGAAAGTTGGGCATGTCAGACTGACATGCTAGATTTCCAGGTGCTGGAAGATTTTCAGATGAAGTACCATTCGGCAGGTACTTTCCTAGTCTGAAATGAAGCTGTGCTGTTTGACTTGCTATTTCTGAATCTACTAGCCTATGGCACTATATCTTCCAAGGAACAACATTTATGCTTATGATATTTCCCTTGCTTGTATGGCATATATCTTGTTAAGTGTTTGAGAGATTGACTGAGCACTTTGTTTTACCTTGAGCAGCAGTAACTCACTGTCTGTTGTGTGTTCTTTCTCCCTCCCACCCCCCTGCCTCATATCGACTAGGTGTGGGATGAGAGGCTTGCCAGATCTGCAGAAGCCTGGGCAAAACAGTGTATATGGGACCATGGACCTCCACAACTGATGAAATTCATTGGTCAAAACCTTGCCATTCACTCGGGCAGGTAAGCAGTGTCTTCTGGGAATGCTAGGTCTGTAGATGTTGCATTAAAGATGTCGCACTGATTGTGCAAATGATGAACACCACTGCAAGTATACCTCTAAGCAGCTGAGAGAGTCTTTTGTCCTGCCCTTCTTTTCATGGATCAAGTGGGCTATATTTGTTTTAAGGGATTTCTAAACAGTGCACCATGGACGCGGGTGGCGCTGTGGGTTAAACCACAGGGCCTAGGACTTGCCGATCAGAAGGTTGGCAGTTTGAATGTCGATCAGAAGGTTGGCAGTCCTCTGCCCTTTCACCCCACTTCAGTGGCTGCCTCTTGAAATGAGGGGGGAGATACTAACACAAATACACTGTTGTAGATTCAGGTAGGTAGCTGTGTTGGTCTGACACAGTCTATCATCTATCTATCTATCTATCTATCTATCTATCTATCTATCTATCTAATCTATCATCTATCTATCTATCTATCTATCTATCTATCTATCTATCTATCTATCATCTATCTAAATGTCCGGTAGCACCTTAGAGACCAACTAAGTTTGTTCTTGGTATAAGCATACGTGTGCATGCACATTTCTTCAGAAGGCATCGTGTTTGACATGTGCATTGCAGGGGGTTAGACTAGATGACACTTGGGGTCCCTTCCAACTCTACACGTCTTTGATTCTGTATCATTCATCATTCATTCATCATCACTTTATTTGTATGCCGCCTTTCCATAGCTAAAACAATGCTCAAGGCGGCTTACAACATGGCAAGATTTACATAATTACCAACATAACAAAAGACATAAACAATAAATAAAACACATCAAAAAGTACACAACCAAATGGAAAACAATTTCCACATAAATCATAAAATCTAAAACTAAGAATACAGCATTAATATCAACCACAATTTAAAAGGACATATAGAAAAAATACAGTGGTACCTCGGGTTTACTAAATTCGTTCCAGAGGTCTGTTCTTAACCTGAAACTGTTCTTAACCTGAAGCACCACTTTAGCTAATGGGGCCTCCTGCTGCTGCTGCCGCCGCGCCACCGGAGCACGATTTCTGTTCTCATCCTGAAGCAAAGTTCTTAACTCGAGGTACTATTTCTGGGTTAGCAGAGTCTGTAACCTGAAGTGTATGTAACCTGAAGCGTATGTAACCCGAGGTACCACTGTAAAAGCAATTTAAAAACAAAAACGGAGCCCTCTCTGCCCAGCAGCAGTAGAAGCACTCCTTTATGGAGCCTGTCAGGCCCCACCTCAAACCAGGTAGAGAGAAGCAGGGCAGGGCCCTTCAGGCTCCCAGCCGGTCAGTCATGCATCCCTTTCAACTCTGTGCTTACAGGAAGAAGTGGGAAGCCTTGATAGTTGGAGGCATCTCCTCACCTTCCTGCATCACATAGTTTGTGCCTGGGGCATCTGTGCTTGGATAGGCAGGTTTCTTCACATTTGCGTTGTGTGTGACCCTCTATAGGTACCGTTCAGCTTTGGACCTTGTGAAATCTTGGTATTATGAGAAGCACCATTACTCCTTCCCTTCCAAATGCAGCGGCCCTGTCTGCACCCATTATACCCAGGTACAGTATAGTCCTGTAAAAAACAAAGAAACAGCGGTTGTTGCTTGGGTAACAAATCGTATTTGTTTTTAATAGCACTTTCCTTAGATGCTTCACACCCCTAGTTTCAAGAATCACTACAACAAACCTAAATGAGGCCAACAATCTCCACCTCCCCCAATACTGAAGGTTTGTGAGCTGAGAATGAAAGATAACGTTTTGCCTAAGGCAGACCAAGAGAGCTGGTGGGAGAGATTTGATGTGGACCAGGGACAGTAGTCCCTGCTTTTAACCATGATGCTGCACCAACATAACGGTGCATATCTCAGCAAGAGGGATGGGGCAGAGGTTCAGGAACAAGGAAGCTTCCCAAGAGATCATCTTCAACCATGCTCTAGGGCAGGTGTGGCGAACCTTTCGCCCTCTAGATGTTGTTAAACTACAACTCCCACAATCCCTAGACACTGGCTATGCTTGCTGGGGCTGATGGGAGTTGAAGCTGAGTCACAGATTCTCCAACCCTGTTCTAGAGCTGCTGGTTCATACTAAAGAGAAGTATTTCTACCTCCATCGTTGCCAACTCTGGTCCTTTATATTGCCACTCACCACTGTCTGCAAACAATCCAAATGCACTGTCTAAACCTCGACTTCTTTTCTGAAAGCATTGCCTGTTTTTTCCATTGTCCCATCCAGCACAGGAAAGGCTTTCAGTTCCAGCTCAGCTAGATGGCTGGAAGAAGAAAAAGAAATGGTCCACACAGGGACATGGAATGTTTTAAGTCACTATGATGAGGATCTGTTACTTAGACCAGTGTTTCCCAACCTTGGGCCTCCAGCTGTTTTTGGACTACAACTCCCATCATCCCTAGCTAGCAAGACCAGTGGTCAGGGATGATGGGAATTGTAGTTCAAAAACAGCTGGAGGCCCAAGGTTGGGAAACACTGACTTAGACAAACAGCTTCTCTTCATGACTCAGGAACATCCTACTTAACATCTCATGGCCTCTGTCATTCCCTGTGGCAGCCTAACAAACCACAAGTATCTGCAAGGTTTTTTGTGTGTGTGTTTTTATATATAAAAAAACCAAAATGAATATGAATATATTTGCACCATATAGGGCTTCCTTGGGGTTTTATTGAGCATTTATCCTGGTTTGCTTGCACAAAGTTTATGCGGAGGTTAGACTATATCTGGTCCTGACTGAGTTCATCCCATATTGCATATAGTCTTCCCATTGATCATTTTTTCACCACACACTTTCCAGTGCTTTCCCCTGGATCTGTTCCACTGAAGCGACAGTGCAAATTAATCCACTTAACCCACTTAATGCACTTAAATGCAAACCTAAATTTCTGGCCTGTGCCTGAATCCTTTCCGCAAAGGGCAAAATATAGTCTGGGTAAACTGTAGCCAAACAGATTTGTTATAGCATAAGTTTTCATGGTCTGGAATCCACTTCATCAGATGCCTGGACGTCTTTCCTAAGTTTGCAGTTATATAAACATGAAAATGTTAGCAGTGAGGGAATTGGAATGCAAGAATACAGACTGTGGCGATTGTGTTAAAGTTTAAATGGATATAAAGTAATTACACTGACCATTCACAAACCAGTGGCGATGATGTCACAAACGTCCTGGCCTCTTAAAAGTTAATTAACATACAGGAACATAAAAACTTGCTAACTTGAGGCAGGTTGCAAGTGATAGAACTGAACTTCTTGATAGTTCAGCGGTTCCATGCTGGAGATTTCCATCCCATAACTTGAAAACTATAAGGCATAGGAAGTTTTTATTCACACCACTGACTTTGACGTGTGAAATAATCCAGTACAGCAACTTTATTCGAAATCTGAAATGTGTGTGTGTGTATATATATATATATATATATATATATATATTTATGACAATCTGTCACAACTGTACAACCCCACCGAAGAAGATAACAGTGGTTACCTAGACCTTTTGCTAGTTGCAAAGGAGACACGCAATTGTAGGTCTGCCCATGTACAAGAGTGCTTCTCCAGATCACAGTAATATGAAAAAATTGGAAAAAATGCTACAGAACTACTGCTAAAGCAGAATGATCTGTAGACCGTCCAGTATATTCAAATCCACCACTAAATGTACTTTTTATTGTGTCAATGACATGTTGCAGAATACACCCAGGAAGGCAAAATTCCTTCAGTCTGGAGGGGCCCTTAATATTACGGTAGTTTGCCCTGGGTGATGGAGAGAATGGTCTACCTGGGGCTCTGAGATCTCCTTTGCCTGCCTGCCTGATTCTCCTGATCCTTCTCACAGAGTAGCTGGTGTTGAACAAACAGCACCTCAAGGAAAGGGAAAGCCCTTTCCTGCCTCCTTCGCAGTGAGTCATCTCTGTGGTGACAAGATGTTTCTGAAACATCTGGCACCTCGGTGAATACATCCCCTTCATTTGCTCATCCCCAAGTATGAGTGGCCAGCCCAAGGTGGAAAACCGCCTTCTCCCACCTGGTCTGCGGCAAAGCGTTTCCAACCCATAATGAACAGTGTTCCTCACAGCTCCAGAATGTTCTGCTCTTGTCTCTGGAAATACCCAGCCCCACATATTTGTCTGGGTGTCTGTCTGGTTCCTAGACACCTTTTTCTCCATTTTCCTGAAGGCTGATCTGTCTCATTTCCAGTGTGTTGTGTCTGGAGAAATGGCAGCGAAGAGACAAGAGGCAGACTAGAAAGAAGAGGAAGAAGGGAAAAATGAACACCTGCTTCTTAAAAAATTATATTCAGCTGCTCAGGGGTAGCACATCTGCTTTGGGGCTGGGAAGGATTCCCTGTCTGAAACTCTAGAGATCTGCTGTCAGTGTGGACAATACTTAGCTGGATGGACCGATGTTTTGAGTCAGTATAAGGCAGCTTTATATCTACATTCATGCAATTAGCAATTTTGTGAGTGGCTTTCAAAAAGAAACCTGCAGATGCAGGGGACCCTGGTTTGGGGTGGTCTTTAACTCTTTCTCTCTTAATGCAGTCTGCTACAGACTGTCCAGCTACACAAGCCTTTGCTAATCTGGCATCCTCCAGATGTTTTGCATGGGGCTTATGGGAGCTGTAGTGTAAAACATATGGAAGGCACCAGGCTAGTGAAGCCTGAGTGACACACATGCAGCTCTGACACTTAAATCTTTTAGCCATTGGTAGACCATGCCTTCATATACTTAAGGCAAAATCCCATAGTCATGGATGTGCCCTAACAAGGACAAATATTCTCTGTGATATTAAAAATTAGAAATTACTTGAAAGTACCTAAACAGGCCTAGGATTAAATTAAGAGTTAATTAAATAAATAAGATTTAGAACCTTAAGGAAAGTTAAGAAATTTTACTTTAATTGGAATACTGTGTTTTTTAAAAAATGATATCAGAAAACTGCTACATTTTAATTACAAGGAAATTCAGATGGGAGAGCTCAGAGGAAGCCCAAAATATGTTTATGAGGATAGAAGTCTAAATAATTAATTATTTTGTGTTGCTTAGGTTGTTTAAGTATTTACCGGTTCCTTGTTTTTATTTTATTTTATTTTTGTTTATATTTGTGATCTTGTCTTTTTTGTTTTTGTTCCCCCCCCTGTTTTTCTTTTGTTGTGATATGTGTTATATCTGTAAGAAACTTAATAAAAATTATTTTTTTTAAAAAAAAGAAAAGAAAAATAATAACTGGTTTAATGTGTCTCAAACAGATGGTGTGGGCTTCTAGCAACCGAATTGGCTGTGCCCTCCATACGTGCACTAACATCAATGTGTGGGGCAGCACGTGGCCCCGAGCAATCTACTTAGTGTGCAATTATGCCATCAAGTAAGTAAACTGGGGCTGGGGGTTCATCCTGGAAAACACAGCAACTTTGGGGCAGAATAGAGGCGGAAAGCTGGAAAGCTACCTAGTACATAAAGTCCACTGATGGACTGCGGGCCATTTTCTGATGAACTGTCTAGTGCGGGGCTGGCAAATGCGCTGCTCTCCAGATGCTGTTGGACTCCAACTCTCAACAGCCCCAGCCCTCGTGGTTATCGGTCACAGATGATGGGAGTTGTAGTCCAGCAACAACTGGAGGGCTACACTCTCCCCATCTCTGGTATAGAGAAACTGAAACTTCATATGAGAGTTCCAATGGTGGGGTGGGAGGTGTGTGTAGAAGCAATTCGGGAGGTGCAATATTGGATAGGAAGAGCTGGCCAGAGGGGAAAGGGTGAATCGCCACTCGCCTTGCCACTCCTCTTTGAAAAAAATATGCCCTCCCAAAGGTTCTTTTAATTTAAGGAGATAGCCATTGAGGCATTCTTTCAATACAAGGAGGGATACGTAGTATGTTCTTTGGTATAGCTGGGTAGATGACTGTGCACATGAATTCACCCTAAAGCCCAAATTCCCAACATGTGCACCAGATACAGGAAATTAGATAATGCAGCCTTCCCCAGAGTTGGCTGATCACAGTATTTCTGCCTGATTTATTGTTGTGCTTCCTTCAAGTCAATCTGGGTAAATGCTGCTGTGTGTCTGCACCATTCCTGATACAGACATGCAGCAGGTTCATCTTGGTCAGGGGTGGGCAACCTAAGGCCCATGGGCCACAAGCGGCCCACGGGGGTTGTTTAGATGGCCCCCGAGCCTCCCCTGAACTGAGCCGCCCACTCGACGAGTCCCCGCGCGCTGCCTTAAACCAACGCAGCGCGGCATGGGGACTCACTTCTGCGGTGCTGGAAATCGTGTCTGTGCATGCTCAGACGCCGGAAATTATGTCTGCGCAAGCTGAGGTGCCGGAAATTGCGGCTGCGCGCGCTCACGATTTGGCCCACAGAGGGATCTCCGATGGAGTGAACCAGCCCAGGCGAGGTAAACCTTGCCGACCCCTGATCTTGGTTATCTGCATACTATCCCTTGCTATTTCCTGTAGGACTAATTGCGGTCGTTAATAGTTGTCAACAGGTTTACCATACCCATTGAGTCCATCACCCATCTCCTACTACCCTTCTGAGAAAAACCCCACCCCACCCTCCCACTATATATAAGGGTCTGGTGACTTCTGTTTCAGTGTACAGTGGACGCTTGGGTTGCAAACGTGATCCGTGCGGGAGGCATGTTCGCAACCCGCAGCGTTCGCAACCTGCAGCACCATGTCTGAGCATGCACAGGTTGCGATTCGGTGCTTCTGAGCGAGTGCTGAGACCCGGAAGTAACCCGTTCCAGTACTTCCGGGTTTGGCATGGTGCACAACCCAAAACGCGCAACTCGAGGTATGACTGTATATGAAGCAGTGTGTGTGCACATGAAAGCTTATACCCAGAACAAACTTAGTTGGTCTCTAAGGTGCTACTGGACAATTTTTAAATTTACTTACTTACTTATTTTGACTGTGTCAGGCCAACACGGCTACCTACGTGAATGCAGCAGTTTCAGTTACCTCCAGACATGACTCTCTGTTGCTTCAGTTATTAGTCTAGGCTTCCTCTTCTAGGCATGCGCAGATCAGTGATTCATGCAGAAACATAATTCATTTATGGAACTTACCATAGTAGCTGTGTTAGAGGGCTTTGAAAGGAGATAGGACAAATTAACATTGAGTGAGGTCTATCAGTGGTGGCTACTAGTTATGATGGCTATATGCTACCTCCAAGATCAGAGGCAGTTTACCTCTTTGAATCTGGGCATCAACAAAGGAAGAGGGCTAGAGCCTTAACACTTTGGTGTTTGGGTCCCTAGAGGCATCTGGTTGGCCATTGTAGAAACAGAATGCTGGACGAGGAGAACGTTTGGTCTGATCTGTTAGGGCTCTTCTTATGACCTGCAGGTGGACTCCTCAGAGATCAGGTAACTCTTATTCAACTGAATAATGAAACAAGCATAAGAACATAATAGATAGCCGGGTGTATGGTGGGTAGGCAGCCCTTTGGGAGGGTGTGTTAAGAGTGACGTGTGACATCCAAATGTCCAGCAATGAAACAAACATGTCTCATGCCTCTTTTTCTCTTTCCAGGGGAAACTGGGTAGGAGAAGCACCTTACAAAATGGGGAGACCTTGCTCAGCCTGCCCACCTAGTTACGGAGGAACCTGCAGCAACAACATGTGTTACTCAGGACTCAGATCCAATAAAGTGAGCTGGTTCTGAACTAGGCATACGGGCTCTGAGCGCCAGCACAGATCCTCTGGAAATGACAGAACCGCAGAAGCATGGCACAGTGTACAGCAAATTGTAAAATAAGTTGATTATTTATGCACATGAAGTCTTGGGCTGCTGCTCTTTCCCTTTCATTTGGAACCTTTCCCATAGATTAATAAAGTTTCAAGTATATTTCTTCTCATGACTATATACAGGTATATCTATATATATAAAGGGCCTGCATTTGCAATAGATTTCTATAGGGGAAAGGTTCTTAAACTTTGCTGTATTTGTGTGTTCTTACAATATATTTTTTTACATTGTACCCACCACATGGAAGCCCATTTCAAGGGCTTCTCGGTTTTTGTTTATGTCAAAACAACTAATTGCTCTGGTGCTGCTTCACTCAGTGTTCCTTGCAGCTAGAAAACAAATCAGCACATTTTCAAGGTAAAAGCAGTGTTGGAAACTCCCACTGTTCTAGGCACATTTTGCGACAGGGAATTTCATTAGTGCACAGTACAGCGCCTAAGATTTCAGATTAAAACTGCAGAGTGGAATGAAAGGAGGATCTTTTTCTGCCTCCCCACTTCCAGCCACTCTCAGAAGACTGGAAATATGGCTTTTATCTTTCTTTCTTTCTTTTCTTTTTGCAGCCTTCAGATGAGGACTAGACCATGTGAAAAATGGACATAATATTTTAGCTGCAGTTCATTCATTTTCGGCTTTGTATTCTCGTTATAAAAAAGCGGCCTAGACATTCCATTGTTGCACCCATAACCTAGGTTTAAGGTGCCATTTAGCTCCTAGCTTTCATATCTCAGTTTCTAACACTGGGTAAAATAGGTGGTTTTTGACCCCAACTCACCACTATCTAGGTCCTGTAGCAACCCCCCCCCCATGTTATCAAACTCCCATCAGCCCCGGCCAAAATGGCCAATGGTCAAGAATGCTAGTCCAGTATCAGGAGGGCCACAGGTCCTCCACCCTGATTTAGGCACGACATGAACCATTTTCACAGCGTCCCTCATCCAGTTTCCTGACTAGTTCTAAAGCAAGTGTGATGCTCTCATAATTTATTCCTCCTCCTGTTAGCATATTTTCATACCTGATTAAATCTTCCCTGTCTATGTAACCATCATAATTGTTAAATTTGATTACTGCCTTCTTCCAAAGCTTTTACTATAGTCAAAGTTTCTTTAGCAAATGTTGACTAAAGCCTTTTGCTTTGGTTACTCTCTTAAACAACTTATAAAGCGATCAGTGGGATGGCATTACTATAAAAGCTATGGGGCTGGCATAACTCTGGGCCCACTTTGTGGGGATGGTTAAGAAAACAGGGAGCTCAAATCTCTCTGTATGTTCAAATCTCTACTGTAAACATCCTATTCATTCTTCCATAAGTAGGCTTCTTCTTCCTCTTCTTCTTCTTCACAAGACTGCAATAAATTCTTTGGTTCCCAAAGCACTTGCGTATTTCTTCTTTATTTGAAAATGTAGCTCAATAATCCCATACACCAACTGAAAGCAGATACCTTCATTCGCAAGACATATGATCACAAGCTGAACATGAGTCAGCAGTGCAATGAGGCTGCAAGGAAAAGGCTAATGGACTGCAGGCTTTGCTAATGGAACCATAGTTTCCAAGTCAGGAGAAATAATAGTTCCAATTCAGTCTGCACTGGTCAGACTTCTTCTGGAGTACTCTCATTCAGTTCTGGGCAATGTATTTCAAAAATGATATTGACAAAATGGAAAGTGTTCAGAGGATGGCAATGATGATAGTCAGGGGTATTTAAAAAGTAAGTCCTATGTGGAGTGGTGGACTTAATTGCATTCTTTAAATCCCCAAAGAGATGTCGCATAGACAAGATACAACACAGAAAGTGGGACTAGACCTAATAGGCTTTAGTTAAAGGAGGGTAGATTTGGGTTCAACACTAGGAGAAACTTATTGATGTTGAGAGCAGTTTGACCATGGAACCAATTGTCGGTGTGTGTGTGTGTGTGTGTGAACACTTTTTGGCTCTACAGACCTGATCTGTATTAGATTATGATATTAAATGCATAAATAAAAGTTCACATTGATCCTGAAGCGAACATCTTACAAGACCCAGCGGGCTTCTTTCAACTAAAATATAACTTTTAAAACCCATGGAGTCCTAAGGTGTTTATTCGGGATAGGGGGCATTCTCAGTGACAAAAATTAGGGTTTGCTTGATTTTTTACAGCTATGTAGGTGTGACAGGCACAGGAGTCCAGAGAGAGCAAAAAGTTGGCAACTCAAGTAGACAGGAAGGAGGAGCCAACCCTGATTTCCCTTCTACTGGGGGTCTTGCCATCCTCCCTGCTTTGCCTAATAACTGCCTTTCTCCTCAACTGCCATGTCCTTTTGTGACATCAGAGGCAGTCTGTTGCTAATGGCAACAGCGGGGGAGGCATCAGCAGAAGCTCCCTAGGCCTGACAATTGTGGGGACACCTCAGCCGTTAGTTTATTATTAACAATATTTACAGCCCATGCTTCATGTGTACTAATGGGGAGGGGGGGTCACCCCATAAACTCATATATTTGACCTTCCACTATCTGTTCTTGAAGAATGGACAGAACAGGTAGCTGGACTTAGAAGAATGAAAGCCTTTCTCACTTCAGAAAGCCCTGTGATTCTCTTCAGTGTTTTTATGTGGGGTCTTGAGAAAGCTTCACTGACTTCAGACATCTCCAAACGCAAAATGAGGGATATCTGACAGCATCACCCAGTTACCTCCGCCAGCTTCTTCCTGGCAACATCAGCCACTAACTTCAGCCTGCCAACTTCCACAGGTGTCATCTATTCAAAAATATCCACCAGTTTCCTTTCACACATCACATTCACATAGGGGGAAGTGGGGCAGATTGACACAGAAAAATTCAACCTCATATTTTATGTAACAAAAAAGAGTCAAATAATAAAATTTTGGCTTGATGCATGGCATAACTAAACAATATTATAATAGCAATCAAAAGAACCATTAAAGTTAGAAGATAATGAAAATATAATGAACTTCTGTAAAAAAAATGGGTTTTGTATCATTCTGCCCCACCTACGGGGCACTTTGATACAAAGTGTAAATTGTATGAGAATGGTAATTATTTGAAAAAGTTTAATGAAAAAACAATTTTTATTGTGAGAGATCATAATCAGCCTTACAATTTGTTATTTAAAATCTAAATTACGTATCAAAACTAACAGTGTTTCACACGTATCATAGACTTTATGGCAGGTTTTCTTAACAAAACATCAAAACTTATTTTAATCTTTCTTCAAACACCTATCCATTTTAAAAAAAAAACTTTGGAAAAACTTTAAAAGTATAAGAACTCACATTAGGTAGTCAAAAAATAGTAATTTAAACAAAAAGCCATTTAAACGGCAAAACAACATCCTTGAAATCAACGCTTGCCTTATCTTCTACAATGGGGAAGACAAACATACAAAATCCTGGTTTTTTCCCTGAGATATGACACTTGATAATCGGTCATATTATATTTAGAAATGACTTTGGCCACATAGTAAACAACAGTTTTTTTCTTTTCAAAGTCAATGAGTTTAGAGATTTCATGCAAACATGTATATTGGGGCACTATTATATACTAACGGGGCACTTTTATTTGTATCAATGTGTCTTAGTGTATCAAAGTGCCCCAATGGACATTTTAAAATTATTAATTTTAACAATTATTAATAAATCCACAAACATTTAACAAACATTTTAACAATTATTAATAAATCCACTGAATTTATTTAAAAACCACGTGTAATCCTGACTACAGAGTGGAATAATTTACCTTTGGTATTTTTAAATCTTAACTAAACGACGTAAAACAGCATTGGAACACTCTTACATTTCACGTAATTTTTTAGTTGGCTGCGCTGAAAACACACCTACTCTTGTCAAAAGCCAATGGCTAACTGGCGGGCGGCGTGGTCGCAACTGTTGTACTCACACATGTATAGACACGTTTTAGTGATGTCGCGACACGAATAACATTTTTTTAAAAAACAACAACACTTTATTTAAGGTAGATAAGGACAAGATGAAATTATACAATTGAATATAAATATAGATGGGAAATGGCTATGTATAGTGAATACTTATCTACTTTAAAAAAATTTCACCTATGATCTTTTTCTTTTACTTCTTTCTTCTTTCTTTGTTCTTTTTTCCTTTTTTCTGTTATCTTATCTTTCATTTCACTCCTTTGTTGTGAATAGCATTTTATAGAGGTATAAATAACTGTAAATATGAAGAGAGACAAAGTATTCTCTAATTTTTTTCCTTGGTTATATGTATTTTCTTTTTCTTTTGTATTTTCTTTTGTTGTAAATATGTATGTTTTCTAATTTGTACTTAATAAAAATTATAAAAAACAAAATTTCTCGATATTGAAATATTGTTAGTGTATCAATGTGCCCCGTGTATCAATGTGCCCCACTTCCCCCCTACATTCACCTGAACCACATTTGAAACTTCCCATTCATATACACAAGCAGACATCTGCCAACATCCATGAAGAATGCCAACAGACATATTCACTCATCTTTCACTCTCCATTCACATTTACTCTCCACAGATATCCACCGGCTTCTGTCAACCAGCTTACATCCACAAACGTCAGCCTGCTTCAACCTTGTGGCACCCACTGGTTCACTAATGTGAACTCCACCGGCTTCTACCTACCAACATTTGCCAGCTTCTGCTAGGTCCATTACTACACATCAGCCAGCTTCCAGTTGTGGGTACCAGCCATCTTCAAGCTTCGATCCTGCTAAGCAAGTAATCTTGCCTTACTCTCACTCCATAGCATTCCGCTGCCTCTGTCCATCTGCCACTTCTTGTTCTCCAAGTGGAAGAAGACCAGGCAGTGCTGAAGGTCGCAGCTGTTGTCTGCTGTGTTCTGCTAGGGTAGGGGAACATGCCCACCTTTATATCCACTCAGGCTTTTGTGATGTCACAAGTAGTCCATAACCAATAGCAACAGCTGAGGACGCATCATCATAATCTCCTCAGGCCTCACAATTGTGGTTCCATCTCAGCAGTAATTGATATATGTGCTTGTTTATTATTAAAAATATTTAAAGACCACCCATAATCTGTACTGATACCAGGGAGGGCACACCATGAAAAATGTTGTAGGGGGACCATTTTCAGCAAAAGGGCTACAGTCCCTTGTAGGGAACCCAACAGGAACTGGATGCAGGTGGAGGGTCAGAGACAGAGGGGAGGGATGCAGCACATGTGTTACAGACTGCCCAACTTTCACAAGATATATTGCACTTATATTTGATTTGTAGTAATTATTTCCAAATTCTTATCTACTGTATACTTTGGTAATTGGTCTGCTTGTTGGCTTGTCTGTTCTCGCAAAGTTTTGTCACCTCACAAGATATCGCCGCCAAACTCGGCATGAGTTGTGGGTGGCACTCATTGCTGACATTTGGATGTCGGGTACCATTTTGAATCAAGATGGCAAACTGAAACATGACTTTGGCGTAGGTTCAGCTGC